TCTACTTTCTAGCAAAATTCCACATGGGTTCTATAAGCCCTGCCCTCACTTCTATTTATCTTTAAAATATTTTTAATTTATGAGCAATGCACAGACACATCTGCTGTAAAGAAACATCTAAACATTTATAGTTAAAACACAAAACCATCAATATCAACTGGCCCTCCTCTCCAGAAGTCACTGCTGTGAAGGAAATGTGTCCTTGGAGAGATTTTCCTGGTAATTTATACACAGATTTATCTAGAAATACCTAGCAGTGTTGTTCCTTACAAAGGGAATAATGCTGTTCTGTTAATAAAGTTGTGCAACTTGTTTATTCAGTAGCAACAATGAGATTTTTTTCTATTTCAATATTAATAGCTCTTACTCTATGTCACCTAGAGAGGATTTAGCATGTTTTGCTGCTCAGAATGATGTAAGAGTTATCATTAGACATTCTTCACAAACAAGGATACTTAGATATGAGAAGTGATTTCTGTTCCCACAAACCTGGCTTCCATCCCTAGCACTCTACAGGAAATTTTTGTTGCAATCACCAACTTCCATTTATGAGTATATATTAATTTTGTACAAACTGGTTTTGTCATGACATTTCTACACACGTATACAATGCACTTTTATCATATTCACGCTGTTACCTGTATCCTCTTTTCCCCTCCCCTTTCCCCTTTCCTCATCTCTAACCGTCCTCCTTTTACTTTCATGTCCTTCTTCCTACCCACAATTCTACAAGAGATAACATCTTTGTCTTTGTGAATTTGTCTTAGTTTGCTTAACATGATGATTGCCAGTGCCATCCATTTTCCTGTAAATGACAAAAAGTTCTTTAATTTTTTTTTTTTGTTGATGCTGGGGTTTGAACTCAAGGGCTCATGCTTGCTAGGCAGGTGCTCTACCACCTGAGCCACTCTGCCAGCCCAAAATTTCATTTCTTTGTGACTGAAAACTCCAATGTGCATGTTATCACATTTTCTTTATTCATTCAACAGTTTGTGGACATCTAGGCTGGTTCCATAGCTTGGTTATTGTGAATGGCTCAGGGATAAACATGGATGTGCAGGCGTCTCCATACCCAGTTGACTTCGATTCTTTTGGATATATACCCAGGAATGTTATGGCTGGATCATATGGAATGTCTAGTTTATTTATTTATTTGGTAGTACTGGGGTTTGAACTCAGGGCCTTGAGGTTGCTTGCCAGGTGTTCTATCACTTGAGCCACAGCTCCAGCCCTTTTTGCTTTGGTTATTTTTGAGGTAGTCTCACATTTATGCCCTGGCTGGTTTGGTCTATGATCCCCCTTCTTTATGCTTCTTGCCTAACTAGGCTAACAACTGTGCATAACTGTGCCCAGGTTTTTATTGATTGAGATGGGGCTGGCTAACTTTTTGCAGTGACTGGCATCAATCATCCTCCTGCTCTCAGCCTCCCAAGTAGTTAGGGTTACAGGTGTGAGCCACCATGCTAGGCTGCAAGTTCTATTTCTAAGTTTTTGAAGCACCTCCATAGTGATTTCCATAGTGGTTGCACTAATTTACATTCCAACCAGCAGTGTATAAGGGCTCCCTTCCCTGTACCCTTGCCAACATTTGTTACTTTTGCTTTCTTGATGAGAACCATTCTGACTGGGGTAAGAGAATCTCAGCATAGTTTTCATTTGCATTTCCCTGATGGCTAAAGATGTTGAACATTTTTCATGTATTTATTGGCCATTTGTACTTCTTTTGAAAATTGTTTGTCACATTTGCCAATTTATTGACTGGATCATTAGCTTTTTTGTTGTTTAATTTTTTGAGTTCTTTATATATTCTAGATGTTAATTTAGTGAGATGAGTAGCTGGCAAAGATTTTCTGTAGGCTGTCTCTTCACTCTTCTTTTGCTGTGCAGAAACTTTAATTTAATGCAGTCCTATTTGTCAGTTGGTATTGTTTTCTAAGCTATTGGCATCCTACTCAGGAAGTCATTGACTATGACTAGATCTTGAAGTGTTTCCCCTATGTTTAGCTCTAGTAGTTTCTAAGTTTCAGGTTGACATTAAGGCCTTTGATCCATTTTGAGTTGATATTTTACAGGGTGAGAGACAGAGGTCTTGTTTCAGTCTTCCACATGTGGATATCCAGTTTTCCCAGCACCACTTATTAAAAAGGCTCTCTTTTTTCCAATGTCCATTAAGTTTTTTTTTCACCTTTCTTGTCCTATCAGCAGCATTTGATAATTGACACTCCTTTTCTTTTTGAAATGCTCTCCTCAGCTTTCAGGATAAAGCCTTCTGGTGTCCCGCCTATGGTTACCCATAGGTCTTTGTTCTTATTCCACTCCATCTCTAAGTCCTAGAAGTTCAGGCTGTATCTTGAGTTCTCTTCACTTTGGATTCTCCTCCTAGGAGTCCTCATATGCTCCTAAATGCTGTCTACATGATGATAGCTTCCAAATTTCTATACCTGTTTACACCTGTCTGTTGAGCTCTAAATTAGTACCCAGCTGGAGATGTAGCTCAGTGGTAGAGCACTTGCCTACCACTAGCATATACAAGGCCCTGGGTTCATTTCCCAGCACTGTTAAAAAAAAAAAACAAAAAACCAAACTAGTACCCAGCAGCCTACATGGCAACTTCATTTGAATGTACAGCCCAGAAGCATCTATCTTAACATGCTAGAGACTGACTTCTTGATCATCTGTATCTGCTTCCACCAACCCTCATGACAGGCACCCCAGCTACCCAGGTGCTTAAGCTAGAGTAGATTCATTCATGGGTCCTACTCCCACGTCCTTGAATTCTTTGGTCTCTACCACCACCCATAGCTTCTCTAATCACTGCCATTATTAAATCTACCCCTGGTAACTGCAGAAACCTACCTGCTTTTCATTTTCAGTTTTTTCCATACAGCTATCAAAATGAGCTTTCTATCAGAGCATGTTACTCTTCAATGACTTCTCATAGCATTCATGGGTCCTGCTGCTTGATCCAGCTTTATTCCATATTCCATGCTTCTCTGATGGTCCTATAATGTACCAGCCTTTTTCAACTCAGGGCCTCATCTGGAAAGTGGACTCCCTGGCTCTTAGCAGGTCAGAAAGCCTTTTATCTATCAAGTTTCAGCTCAGTCACCTCATGGAACCTTACCCCAACCACCTGATCCAAAGCAGGTCTCCCTATTATTCTCAATTACTGAGCCTGGTCTCTTAGTTCATTTTGCCTCAGAATATACATCTATTACTACTTTGCCTTCCTCTCTAGCATGTATGCTGTATTAGGTCTTTACAGTTACACCCCAAGCCTAGCACAGTGCCTGGGCAGACATTCTGTTAATGGTTTTGAGATCATCTAGTTCATCACCCTATTTTATTCTTTAATTAGTTATATTTAAAAATAATTACTGTATATAAATTGTACTAAGGGGTTTCATTGTGGTATTTTTATACATGCATAGCTGTACTTCAAATTAATCCCCTCTACTACTCTGTATCTCTATTCCCTCCTATTTTTTTAGTGGATTTCATTATGCTGTTTTCATACATTGATATAATGTACTTTGACATTATTTACTACCATCACCTCTTCCCTCTCCCCTTTCCATTACCTTTATGTCTGGACTCCACATGAGAGAAAACATGTAATCTTTCTGAACTTGGCTAATTTTGCTTAACATGTTCCACAATGTAATTTTTCTTCATGGTGAATACTACTCCTCCACTGTGCATGTATACCATTTTCTTTATCATTCATCTATTGATAGACACCTAGGCTGATTCCATAGCTTGGTGGTGATTACCCTCACTTTAGAGGAGGTGAGAAACCCAGGAAAGGACCCATTATTTTACTACATCCTCAGATCGCTACACTGAGAGGTGGTGTAGTGGTCAAGGGCACATGTTCTGGTGTCAGACCTCTTTGGTTCACATCCCAGCTTCTCCACTGACTAGTTGTCATGGTGGGGGAATTACTTAACTTCTGTGTCCTCACTGGTAACTGAGGATCAGAGCATCTACCTGATAGGATATTGCAAAAGATTAAATTACTAGAAGGATGAAGCCTAGATATAATTAAAAATTCTATGATTTTCATTATTAATTCTGAAAACTATTTCTTTAAGCAGCCTCCACCCCCCAGCTATATTTAGAATGGAAAAAACAAAGTTCTTTTACGAATAACTACTTTCCACATGGTTAATCACTCAGGCTGGAACCGCTATAAAAAACTAGGCTTAGAATCAAAATCTCTACTGTAATGTTTGGGGTAACTCCCTTGTGAGTGGACCATGGGGAATTTTTTTTTGGTGGGGGGTGCAGGATAGGGGTTTGAACTAAGGTCATCTTTGTGCTTAGTAGGCAGGTGTTCTACCATTTGTGCCACTCCACCAGCAATTTTTACTTTTTGATAGGGTCTTGTTTTTATTCCAGGCTGGACTGGACTGTGATCCTCCTAGTTTATGCTTCTCACTGTATCTGGGATGACAGGCTCATTTTCTGTTGAAATGGGGTCTCGTGAACTTTTTTGCTGGGCTATCTTAGAATTATGCTCCTCCTGATCTCAGCCTCCCTAGAAACTAGGATTATAGGTATCTGCCACTGCACCCAGCTTCCATGGAGAATTTCTGATTGATGTAAGATCTCTGTCACCATCGGATGTGAATTAGCAGTTCTGTGACCCATGCCACAGCAATCTTACAGCAGAGACGAACACTTCTATCATGGGTGGACATCAGTGTTGGTCATGCATACTTTCAGACGGCAGAGTGAGCTTACTTGCTAGAACAGAGAATACTATTTTTTTTCTGTTCAAAAAGACCAAAAAAGAGGAATTTTAACATACTGCTGTACTATGTGCATTGTCCATAATGAGATTTTTCTTTTTTAAGATAGGGATAATTTTTAAAAACTTTAAAATAATTGGTGGCTAAATGTTACTAAAAAGTTGGAGAACCTATGAAAATAATTAGGGCATTGAACAGGCACTTCTCATTTACTTGGAACGCTATCCAGACACCAGGCAGTTTTACAAAGGGTAGAATTAATATTTTATTGTCATTTATAATCAGATGGCAATTGGAGATAGAGTCTCCACACTTCATACTTTTGTAAATTAAAAAAAATTACAAGTTTTAAACAGTTGACAGCTGGTTATGTTTTTCCAGAAAACACAATTAGACAAATTCATTAATGGTGGCTTCAAGCTTTTCCTTATTAGCTCCAGAAAATTCACCCACCTGTCAAGAGAATATTGAATTGACATTAGCTGTAATGATGCATCACTAATTCATACATAAGCTACAATCACAGAGCGAAGGAACCATGGGGGTTAGGGGAAGGAAGAGCACATATAATCTTATTTAAAATAAACTCTCTTGAATAACACAGTTCTTAATTAAAAACAAAAGAAATCAAAGAAAAAAAAATCTTCAAGGAAAGACAGTGGTGCATTTAAAAAAAAAACCATAAATCCCTCTAACAATGAGACATTTACGTAGGATATAATAGGTATTCGGTTAATAGTTGAGAGATCACCTTAGTCCATCACCTAATTTTAGACAAAGCAGGAAACCCAGGTAAAGACCCATCATTTTACTAACACTCAAATGCCATACTTAGGGGCAATGTAGTAGTCTAGGAAATCCAAGTCTAAGACATCCTGTATACTTTATGACAAAAATATGAAGCACTAATCACAAGGATTTAGGGTCTGCTTCTAACTAACACCAGCTTTTAACTAGAGATACCATTGTGTACTTCAGACAATGAAGAATGACATATTTAAATGTCCTTGAACACAGAAAATGATGACATGCTACAGTGTGAAGGGATAAGTTGCTTTGATTGTTTCCTCATTTATAGCACATTCTCCATGTGATTTTTCGTGAAGATCAGATGTACATACCTTTTTACCCTTTTTAAAAAACTGGAAGGTTGGCATGCATTTCACTTCACAATCTGCAGCAACATCCTTATGGGAGACAAGAGAGGATGAGAACAAGGCTGTGAGTACTGGGCTTTGCTTGGGACAGTCCACAACCAGAGGTTTTTCCCTGTTAGATATACTCCACATCTTAGCACTAGGAAATAAAAGCCATTTGTTTTAGCAAATGAAAACCAATGTAATGAATGCAAAAGAAACACAAAACTAAACTGGTTATATTCTCAATTCCTGGGCTGGGGACATGGCTCAAGTGGTAGAGTGCCTGCCTGGCAAGTGTAAGGCCCTGAGTTCAAATCCCAGTACTGTCCTCCCACACATTCCCTGCCCTCTAGTAAAGAATGAGGTAGAAATGCAATATCTTACCCCTAAATGGTTGTTTTTTAATACATGGTTAAAGAGCCTTGGTCTAAGTTTATCATTCCCCTCATTTAAAAATAGAAAGCTAGCCTATTCCTGTTTTTTTTAAGAATCTAGAAAATTAGCTTTTTAGAGTGTGTACAAGTTCTGGGAGTTTTGAGCAATGTACAGTCATGTAAAACCCTCACCATCAGATGCAGAACATTCCCTTCCTTCTCCTAATTTTCTTAAGATGCCCCTTTGTAGTCAAACTCTACCTGAACCAACCCCTGGCAACAGATGATCTGTTCCCCACCTTTATTGCCTAATCACAGATTTTTATTAGTAAATATAACAAAACTAACAACATTAAACTTAGGACATTTAATTTCATTGATTTCTAGGTTAGCACTCTATAGAGCCAGAGTAACTTTAAGAGTGCTTTTGTCATGTCTATTAACTCATTCCTAGCTCTTCTTATCAAAATTCAGACACATGGTATTTGAAAAGGTTGCAAAATATTCAGGTCTTAAACTACTTTGTTTCTTATTTTAGTTTATGAAGTTTGTATCAGACCCCTTGGCTACCAATGAGTACAATCAGTCTATCATTTTCAAAAGGGCTCACACTCTTCTATGAATACACAATTACTTCCCTGTGTACCGCATCACACATCCAGGCCTTCTAACTGTCCATGTGAACCTGTTATACCTACAAGATAATTTCTTCTCATTCATGTGTTTAGGAGTCTTTTAAGCCTCTCTGCTGCTCAATCTTTAAAGTACAGAGGCAAAGTTAAAGCCCCCAGTTTGAAAGAGGGTCACTTTAAGTTTTGAAAGACATTTCCAGGGTGATTTGTGTGCCCCAAGCAGTCAGGGAAGAAGAGTTGCCATTCGAAGGCCTTGCTGCTTTACATATGGGTTTAAGAGTGAGGCAGCAGAAGCACCTGTCCTCAGAGTGGTATGGGGCCCTGCTCTGCCCAGGTCACCTTCTGTGCTGCAGTCTCCTCACCTCTCAATGCGGATACTAATAAAATCTATTCTCCTAGTTACTGTGCACATATCATGACATAACACACGCAGAGGGCTTCCCACAGACTCTGGCATGATATTACTTTCAAATAAAGATTACAGTGTTATCTGATAGGGTCAGTTATAGTGAGTTAATCTAGTTCAGGAGCAAAGCAAATTTTTCCTGGCTAAGTGACCATATAGAAAAAAATAAGACTGTAAGTTTACTAAAACAGGAAACAACTTTTTTTCACAAACGTGAACAATTATATTTGTATTTTTAAAGAAAAACTTGAACATATTTTAGAATGACTTTACTTAACCATAACATTTATTCACTCATTCCATACCTATACTACATGCAGACAGGTGTGCTAGGTAAAGAAGACAAAGGTGAGTAATACAGGGTCCCTGACCCCAGGAAATTTATGGAAACCAATGGCATAGAACAGAGCTGAGGATCCCTTATCCAGAATGCTCGGGACCAGAAGTATTTCAGAGGGTTTTATTTTTTTCCTTCAATTTTGTAATATGTAGAATTTACTGGATGATCCATTTTTGGATCTGAAAACCTAAAACTCCCAATCTGAAGCTGTTTAAGCATGATGTCAGCATTCAAAATGATTTGGATTTCAGATTTGGGATGTTGAACCTGTACCATAACCAAGTACTTACTCTGTGCCTGGCATTGTTCTACGTACTTGGGAGTTATTGCCTCATTTAATCTTGATAAGTACCTTATGTTGAAGTAGCACGGCTATTTTAGAGGGTAAAAGTGATGCCCAGAAAAGATAAGTAAGTTAACCAAGTCTCCACTGTCAATAAGGGACAGAACTAGAAAATTGAGAAAGTGGTCTGGGTACAGGTTCTGTTCCATTTCAGTACCATGAATGCAAAAGGAAAGGGGAGCAAAGACTATCACATGGACACAGACGAAGGGTAACAAACGTAGCCTGGGGTAACTGAAGAAGAGTGAGTAGAAGAGAAGAGATGAAACTTATGATGATGGACAGGAAAGGATGGACCAGGTAAAGAAGACAGCACAAGAAAAGACAGGTGTCTTCTGAGGCGTGGAATCAGAAACTCCACCAAGAATAAACAATCTGGGCTGATGGGCCCTTACATGTTTAGAAGGGTCTGCTGTACTCTTGTTTTAAGTGATCCTGTAGCACTTTAATTGGTCATTCCATGTCTGCTAAGCAAATAGCAACCTTGTGAAGTTGATGGTAGACAGAGAACCAAGGCTCAGGGAAAATGGGAGATTAGCTTAAAGCAGAAGCCAGTGAGCCAGAACCAGAACCCAGGTCCAATACCTCTACTGTCACATCACAACCCCCTAAATCCCTCTGTGACCATGGAGCTACAAGAAAATGCTCATATACCTGTAAAGAGCTGTGAGGTGCTACATCCTGAGGAGGAGAGGCAAAGTCACATGCTAAGAACATGATCTGCACTCATCACTAGACAGCATCCTCTAAAGTGTGGTGGGTAAGAGTAAGGGCAGGGAGCCAGATGCCCTCACTGTCACTCTTGACTCCGCCACTCCAACTTTACCTTTTTTTCACATGCACAATGGGGACAATAACAGCACAAAGGACAAAGGAGTCAACACTAGAAAGCACACAGACTAGTGGCTGGCCAGTACAAGTGTCAAACTGGAAATATGTTAAATAAAAACAATCCTGGCATTTTCCCCCAGTTACTCTCAGCTTCTAAGACATCTTGGTGTTTGTTCCTTAAAACATTTGGGTTTTCTCATTGACTAAAACCAATCAAGACTAGAATAGGCTTGTGAATACCTGTTTCCATGCCATGAAAAGTTGACACGGAACCTTAAATGTGGACTTACAAGCTGATGCCATCAAATCTATGAATTTTATTTGCAAACTCAATTTCTACTTATTGAGCATCTCAGAATGGTTGGTAGAACACAAGGTCTTAGAAAGGTGGTAAGTGATGAAGCACTGTGCAATTTAGAGAAAAAGACCAATGTGAAAAGTTTAGTATCTCAAGTTTTCAACGACATACCTGACAGTCGTCCACATCGACTTCAATGAACATCACATTGGGATATTTTTCAGAGAGGGCCTGGGGATTTCAAGTGAAAAATTGAAAGAGATTTAGAGCTGGATAATGGCAGGGAATACACTCAAGCTTCTCCAATAAATCTTAGTAAAAGGAGAGGCTAAAGGAACATACATTTTCTCTGAATCAAATTCTTCCTAGTGTAAAATAACTTAGCATGACAACTCTGAGGCCTGAATTCTAAATTGGGTCTATGTTTCAACTGGGAAGAAGGCAAAACCATTTAAGACAAATGAAATTAACTTCTGAAAGGAGTCTCTGATGGGCTACAGTTATCAAACCTATGTTACTTAAGTTGTTATGCTACTTTTAGGCCAATGATCCAGCAAAACAAAAACAAAAAATTCTAAACCCTTTACCATCCTCTCTCCTAGCTTTGTGGAGGCAGTGATCTCTTTACTCACATGAAAGAAAGGCTTGATCATTTTGCAAGGTCCACACCACGTGGCTGAGAAGTCAACTACAACAAGTTTATCTCCTGCAGCGTTCAAGGCTTCCTGAAAAGCATCCTAAAAAGGGTGAAAGAAAAGCTTATGTTAAAAATTCTGAGGACTTGAAAAGATGATAAAGCACAACTTAGAAGTCCTGCTATTTAGGGTCTGCTTTTTACACACTACTTTTGCCCCTCAACAAGCCAGATGAACTAGTTTTGACAGAACCCCACACAGTTAGTACTGTTATACTTGCTAAGATGAATTAAGATATAATGTTAGAGTAAATTGGTATTCATGTTTTTAGGAATATTTTACAAACTATTGTGAACTGGCTAATTTATATTCAAACTAAGCAAAAGAATGGAAAACAGATATTTGTATTAAAAATATTTCCACATCAAATCTAGATATGTGCTAGACATTCATTGAATTTATAGATTGATGAAAGGGGTCACTGCAATTGAAGAAGTCACAATGTCACAGATTTTGACAACAGAAACATCATAAGCTATTTAACAACAGTAAAAACCCTTAATACTTTTGATTAATTTGCCTATGGTAGAATATGCCAAAATCCCCTACTCTTCCCCCACAAAAGTCCAGGGAAATTAACTGTCCCTAAACCCCAACACTCAGAGTGTCACTATGGGCATAAACATATTTTCTTGTTTGTGTGTGTGTGTTTTAAACAGGGTTCCCAGAGTTGAGATCATACTACCTATCAACCTTTGATTTTTTCCCATTAGCTCAAAAATATGCCCTCAATTCATTAAATGAACTGCAGCTTTAGTTGCTCATGAAGGAAAATTTCCTCAGATATTATTTTGCATAAGGAATACATGGCAAATGAAAATTCCCAGCAAAAGTGATGAAGAAATCCCTTACCAACCTCCCTGAATTATTTACCAACAGTCTCAATACTGTAACCTTAGGAACCTAACATTCTGGCGACAAGGGATTCATTTTTACCACAATTAGTCAGTTGGTGCTAAACAAAACCCGTACTAGGGCAACGAAGATGAATATAAACACAAACATCTGCATCTGAAGTCTAGGTTTTCTTCAGGGAAAAACATCAGTCAAATTGGTTTAATCTAAACTAACATTCCCCTCCCCCACGAGTTACAAATCACATTAGATTTGTTCCAGCTAAGGAAAGTAAATAAAGCACATGGTTTAACAGCCTCACAGAAAACTAATGTGAATTCACATGGAGCACAGTTACTTTTCCAGATTTTTAATTTCTACTTCATGTTTTTGGGGAAACAATTCACAAATTGTATTCATGAGAACAAATGAAGTGCTATGACATAACTTCTGTAATTTTTTTCAGTTATACAGGTCTGTCAATCCTATCTTTGTGTATGGAGAAAGGTGAGTGGGAGAGGGTGGGGGTGAAATGCAAGAGAATTAATTATGTTACAAGTATGAAAACTACTTTTCCAAAACATTACTGATTGTTCCAGATGAATTCATTCAAAGTCATTCCTAATGTGATTTTCAGATCAAATCAACCTTTTTTTGGTTTGGTTTTTTGAGACAGGGTCTCACTATGTACCTCAGGCTGGCTTCACACTCACAATTCTCCTGCCTCAGCCTCCTGGGTGCTGAGATTACAGATGTGCACTACAACACCTGGCCCAATTATTCTTTACTGTACAATACAGATAAGATGGTAGAAAGGTCAAGGACTAACAATGGTCTGATGGGCATTCAGTTTTGAAACACGGCTGACCTTCAATAACAACTCAGTAATATTAACTTTCAAGACAGACTATACTATACTTTCAGCCATCTTCAAAGTTTTCCCCAAAACAGTTGAATCAAATTCAAACAAAAGTACCTAAAATTCTGCAAAGAGGCCTGCAACTGTAAGTTTTGATTCAAGTGAACATGGATCATAAGCAGGTATGTGAAGACTTCATGTGCACATTCTCTTCTTTCCATACCCTAAGTTTTCCTGAAATAGGTATCGGCTTGAAAATTATTCAGGATTATTTAAGAAGGAAATCACAATTTCTAGCTCTCAGAAAGTAACAATTAGAATTGACAAAGGTCCCCATCACTGACACAAATAATCTGGAAACAAAACAACATAATTGGGGTAGATAACTAAGAGCAGAGTCTAACATCTTTTCCTCAATATACCCAAACCCGAAAGTAATAACCACAAATGGTTTGTAAAGCACTTAGCAATGTATCTTGTGTGTGTAGTTCAATAAGTGGTAACTATCATTCTAAAAAAACATTGTAAACCACTTGAGTTCTCCTTCCTCATTGCATTTATTCCACTTTTGTCTGCAATAGATACCAGTGGCCCTAAACTACCCACAGGCCTCAGGAACAAACCTGTTCTAGACAGCCAGAGGCATCAACTTTAGCCTACTAGGATGAAAATTTGAAGTGTACTCAGTATTTAAAAATAACAGATTAGTTAGCTCCTGATTGATGACTCTGGATCATAAGTCTGAAGATCAACTGTTACCAGGGCCATTGGGGCCCAAGCTTTTATCACAAGTAAGGAATTTCCTGTCACTCTTGTACATTTTTCTTACTTAGAGTGCCATAATGAGGACAACTCAAACACAGAAGGCCCCAGACCTGTGCTCCAGGAGCCAAAACCAACTTCTTGTGTTTAGTGGATGGATTCTAAGCAAACTAACCTACGCTACTCAAAGGTCTTCACAGTCCTTTATTGGGCTCTCACCTCCTGGGTTATCCAGGTGAGCTGCCAGACCAGATGCCAGAGAACAGAGCCCCACACTCCTTCCCTTCCCCAGGCAGACTAATTTGTCACACAGGTGTTGAAAAATGGATATGGAACAAAACTCAGTATTAAGGACCCCCTTTTCTACAAATGAGAAGGCTCACATAATTTAAAAAACGAGGATTCCAATAACAAGATTAAGGACAAGGCAGTAATAATGAAAAACACAAGAGAAAAAGTTGAGGTACTAAGAAAGTAACAAAAGACTCAGGGACCATCACAGACACTGTGTATGACATCACTTTGGCTTCTGAGGCCCAACAAGCACCAAACAGATGGTCAAGATGGGAGGGTGAAGAGGGTTCACCTTCTGCTGTTTTCCGGGGGCAGGTGTGGGGTTTTTCCATCAATTTCCCCCCACTCACTTTCGGACTCTCCATTTAACAAACATGTCCTGAATGGTTACAGTAACAGACACTGTATGTTAAGCTGTTTCCCAATCTTAAGTATGTTTGGCTCGCAGTAACTTTTGGATACCGGAACACTTTTTTCCCTTGGGCATTTCTAAAAGGACACACCACGAACTTTGGTACCCTTAGGTCGAAGGGCACACAAGAGACGGCTACTCCCAGTGGAGAAACCCTGGTTCTAGCAAAACCTACTGACTCTGGGTGAATCACACCACGGGTAGGGCAGCGAGGTCCCTGGGCCCAGCCTTGGGGACTGAGTCATTCCAAAGCCAGCCTGCCGGAAACACGCCCTGCGCTTGCAGGAGGAGGAGTCCCGCGGGCGCGGCCTGGACCTCACTTCCCGCAGCCACCTGGGGCACGAGCCAGAGGGTCTCCAGCCGGGACCCGCCTCCTCAGCACCGACACTGCCCGCGTCATCTTTGGGGCCGGCCAGTGATGGAGGTAGACGAGGTTCTCCAGGCTAGATCAGCTCCCAAGGGGTTCACCCCAGCACACATCGGCGGACCACCCGGCATACGGGAGAGGGACTGGCGGCCAGCGACCCCGCGCCTTCTCTAAGAGGCCCTCCATCTCCTGGCTTGGGCCGCAATTAGGACATCCATGGGTGCAAACGGTGGACCCTCTCCAGCCCTTCACCTTCCCTCTATCGGGGTTGCCCGGGCAGACGCGTGTGTCCAAGAGATGCAGTGCGGAGCTCGGGGCTGCTCCCCCAGCGCGTGCATTTCCTGGGCGCACCCGGCGTGGGCAGCACTGGACACCCCGCCCTCCAGGGGGCACCCGCCTGTCCCCTCCCTCAGGGCACGCTCAGCAGCCTTGGGCGCACCCAGGCCCCGGCTTCTCTCGTCCCAGGCCGAGCCACTGCGTCCCCTTCCCCCAGGGATGAGAAGGGACGGCCTCCCAACTCCGGCCCATCGCCTCCTCACTACGGAGGCTGCGCGTAACGCTCTGGTCTTTCCTGGTAGCACGTACCTTGCTCTCAATCTGCTTCACCATTTTGGCTGTTGGGGTTCTGACGAGCAACTGTAGAAACCGATGGAAAAGGATCCAAAGCGCCGCTCCAAGCTTAGAGGGGAACGCGCAGCCCGCCTTCTCTTTATAGCGACAGGGCGGAGCGCAGCGCGGCGGGGCGGGGCGGGCAGGCGGGCGCGCGCGGCGTGCGTGCGGCGGGGACGCGCCCGCTCAGCCTCCCGCGCTCGCCAAGGCTCCGCGGCAGGCCCCGCCCCCGGAGTCGTAGAGTAGGGGTGGGTGGGGCTTCTGGCGGGGGCGTGGCTAGCGCAGGCGCACAGAGGACTGGGGCGTGGACAGTCTCCGCTGCTCCTCCCTGAATATGTAGCCGCCCGCCTGCGCTCACCCTCGTGGAATAGGTGTGCTGTGGGGGCGATCGAGCGACTTAAAGGGCGCTTGAGCCGCACATGGCGATGGGAGGTGGCACTCCAGAGCCACAGGGCCTCTCTAGGGTCACTTGGGAGTGTACCAACCAGGCCTTAATCAGACACGCCCAGACTCGAGGGGACAGTACTAGGCTCACCTAGGCAAGGGTCGGATTCCTGGAAAAGGTCGGCAATGTCCCGGCCCCCTAGCACCGTGCGCCCCACAAAATGCTGAGTAACGATGACTAGGAAGTCTGCGCGCGCCCTCGCCTCCTCTCCGGATTTTACTCCGACGGTTCTCCTCTGTCTTTCCTCCTTCCTATTCTTTCACTTTCGCCAGTGAACCGGCTCCTTCACAGTGACGCTGCAGTTCAGAGCGGTAGAGATGGCCGGGCGACATGTTGACCAGCACACCGCTGTAAGTGCGGCGCAGCGAGCCCGGCAATGGAGTCGTGCATTTGTGACCCTGGGCAGAGCCTCATCTCTTGGGCTCTCAGTTTCCCCTTCTGTAAAATGGGAATCAGGATGGTCTCCATCTCCTGGTGGTGGTGTCTTGAGGGAGTAAGTGCTTGAAAAACGATAGGACAGTGCTCGACCCCTAGTAAGCACTCACTAATTACAGCCGCTGTGAGTACTAATTAGGCTTGCTTGATGTCATGAGAGGCCTGGTGGAGCTTGGCTGTGGATCTTTACAATGGCTGCAGTACACACATTTGCGTGTTTTTCTCCCTAGGAGACGCCGGCGACCGAATATTGATACAGGGGTGCATGTGCGGGTCGGTTGAGATGACTTAGGGGTGTGCAAGGTGTGTTAGCAGCGTTGTGAAGTCAGGACCCGGCCTAAGCTGCTAGAGGAGGAGGGAAGGTGCAGGTCTGCAGTTCCACAGCTCAGCAGCCCTGGGTAAAACTGCATCCAGGGGTGACTGACTAGGGGTGGTAAAACTGCCTCCTGACTCTCCCCATCCCCTGTCTTCCTTTCCCCTGCTCTTTCAGAGATGTAAATCAAAAGTTTTGAATCAGTTGTGCAGTTTTTAGAGAGCTGAATAGCGCCAGGACATGGGAGAAGATGTGGACAAAGGGGTATGATCTAAGGACAGCCCTAATCAGGGAACTGCCCTGAATGAGGCCCTCCCAAAGAGGAGAGGGAGGGAAGTCCTGGAGCAGAATCCCTAACTTGGTTTTCAGTCCAGCTACATCTCAGCTTCCTGGCTTCGCTGTTAGGTGAATTTGTAGGCAAAGACAATATATCACAGAACTAGTAGGAAGTGGACATGCACACAGATCTCCAAAGTCCACCCAGACCACCCTTAGCTGACCTGGCCAGAGACCTTCCACATGGCCCATTCACTGAGTTGCAGAAAGTACTGACTTCCTCTTACCTGCACAGACTAAAACATGTTAAAAAGTGGAGGATGTTATAAATACAGAGAATATGGAGAATGAGGAAGTGGAAGGGTGGAGCATGTGTTGAGAATATTTGCTCTGCAAATAGATTCCCTCCTGGGAATAGCTGGGTAACTCTGGGCTGTCTAAATAGTCTTTCTATGCCTGGGTTTCCTCATCTGTAAAATGAGGTAATACCTCATGCTGTTACAAGGGTTGAGTGAGCTAACTACTGACTATGCAAAGTGACTAGATTGTGTGTCTGAGTGCCACATGAATTATGAGCACGGCCTATTAAATGGTATGCAGTCCGGGCAAGGATGGATAGGAGACTATAAAATGGTGTTAGTCTTAAGTGATTTAAGTAATGAGGAAGTTTGTAATGAACAGGGAACTCTGTAACATGAGTCTCAAGGAAAAGGGCTTTTTTTTTTTCACTCAAAGAATGAGAGAAAAGTGTGCTGGACTGGTTCTAAGAAGCAAGGGCCCCTGACTACATGGGCATGGGCATGGGAAACAATTCTTAGGATTTCAAGTATAGTAAGGAGGTGACATTCTGTGAGGAGAGTGATATGCAGGAGAGTGTTTGGGACAATCCAGGGAGGGAAGATCTTTTGTGTAGAGTATGGGAGGCAAGAGGAGAAGCGGATGTAAAGGCCTTCATTTGGGGGACTGGTTCCATGTATTAATCAGTACTCTGAGTTGCAAGATCTAGCTTAAACTGACTTAAACCCAAAAGAATTAGGAACTCATTACCAGGAGCTCCAGGGACTCAGCACTGTCACAGGGGTATCTTGATTCTTTCATTCTCAGGTGGACTGTGTACCTGAGAGGCCAAGGCAGCTCCAGGCTTTGATTTCTCTAGTTGGGCATCTCTGCAGAAAGCACATCCCCGTCTCTTGTCCTAGATGTCCCAGAGGCTGACCTTCATTGACTTGGGGTGGGCTAGGGGTTAGCCTTGCTTGAACTATTGGCTTAGGAGTAGGGGAAATGCAAGGGGGTACCAGAGGAAGGGAAGGTGGATGGTAGAGGAGGAAACAGGTTGTTTTCATGTTGTCGAGAAGCACAGAAATAAGTGGGATGGTGTGTGTGTGTGTGTGTGTGTGTGTGTGTGTGTGTGTGTGTGTGTGATGAGCTCCCTTTGGGCTTCTGGGTCAGCACAGTTTGAGATCTGAGTCTGCTGCCTTACTTTGCTCTCAACCCCGATTTGAAGAACATGGCAGTCAAGGACTTCTGGAGCATGTTTTTCTCAAATTGCAGGTTTCTTTGACCATCTCATTTGGGATTGCTGGGGGTGCTGGGTGATACTGCAGAGTCCTGGACCACACCCAGACAAACATGAGGGAAGCACAGTTTTTTGAGGGAGAGCCCTGGAATCTGCATTTTAAAAAACATTCCAGGTGACTAGGTACATTAACATTTGATAAACCTTGACCTGGGAGGCCAGCATTAACTAAACTGAAACACTGTGTTTGCAAGGAGTTGAGGACGAGGACACAAAGGAGGACATGTTAAGTGTCATAAAATAAACTTAGGATACTATGGTGAGGAAAGTGGTAGAAGGAAAAGGAGCAAATAAGCACACGTGGGAAGTCATTTCTGCCGGGTCCAGAGCTGGGCATGTCTCATCATTCCTCTGAGTGTCCCAGGAGATAGATATTATTCTCCCCATTCTACAGAGAAGGATATTAGACTCAAAGAGGCCATCTAGTCATACTAAAGCTTACCAGTTCTTATATTCTGTTTATGAAGAGAGGGAAGTGCCACACAAGTTTCAAACAGCGCATCCACAAATCTCTAGTCCCCCTCATTTCACAGTAACATTCCTTATGTTAATTTATGAAGTCTATAGGTTGCAGTACTTTAAAGGTTGGCTGTTTTGATTTTAAAAGTTAATGTATGCATATGTGAGATACTGCACTTTGAGTGCTAAGTATCTTAGTGTACATTATGGTTGCCATTGTGACCCCTGTGAGTAACCTACCCTGCACGCCACTGTTTTATTCCCTAATCTGGCCGAATGATCCATCTTTTCTGCCCCTAAAATCCTTTCACTGTGCACCATTGTATTCTTCTCAGGTGTTTCTTTTGCTTTAACCAAAACTTTAGCTCTGCTCAGTGTCCGTCACTGTCTGATGGCCACTAGGTCAGGCAAGTCCTTTCACTACTGCTTCCAAACTGTCCTTCAAAAATCTCATGAATTTTGGGGGAAATTTTCATATTTTTGGTCTGATCTTACCATGCAGCAAAATTACTCAAAATGCACTTAATAACTTCTGGAAGACATTGGAGATAATCTTTGCAACCATGCCATGAACAAATATCTTTGTGGGTATATATGTGTGTCTAAATATATGTATGTATGTATGTTTGTACACACACATATCTGTGCTGAGTGGAAGTGGACTTTAAAGCTTAAAAGAATCCATTCATAGAAAGTTCTAGAACAGGTAAGTCTATAGCGATAGAAAGTGAATTCTTGGTGCTAAGGTGTGGTGTAGGGATGCAGAGAGGAATAGTGGAACTTTCTGGTGGTTGAATGGGTCTATGTATTTTTCACAACTCATGGAAAAATGTACTGAAATGATATATTTTATTATGAGTGTAAACTATATCTCCAGTAAAGTTGAATAAATACTAAAAACATGTAGTTGCTGAATAATCCTTTCCAGATACAAAGACCATCCTTAAGGACACGAACATACATTTCTAAGGCCACAAAGATGAGATAAGTTGAAACATTTAGACAGTGCTCTAATTTGGACTCTACAAATTGTAAGCATGGGTAATTGAAAGAATGCATTTAAAAGTAGATAAACCTTTTATAGCTATTGGAACTTTAAATATAGAATATAGATATTAATGTACAGTGTAATTGGGTGCCCTGCCAAGCTTATCCTAAATACAGAGACATGGAGACCACTGTGTTAGTCAGCTAACACTGGGACAAAATACCTGAAAGAATCAAATTCCGAAGAGGAAAGGTTAATTTAGCCCATGGTTTCAGTTCATGGTTGGTTAGCTCCATTGCTTTTGAGCCTACAAGAAGGCAGAACATGATGGGGGAACAAACCTGCTTACTTTAAGGTGGCCAGGAAGCAAAAAGAGGAAGGGGTACATGACTAACAGTCCGACTATGCACAGTTATGAACAGGTAAACTTTAAGGGAGAGAGACTCTCCCATAAGAGTTTTACATGGCTGTATCTTTGAGACAAAAGAAGTAAAAGTTTAATTAAAATACATGGCTGTCCAGGATCTCTAATCCTGGAACTATTCAGAAATCACTTGACTTCAACATAATAATAACTATTAATTATTAATTAAGTGCTCAAAGTACATTTGAATTTGTTCCTGGTAGTGGCAACTTTTGAGGGCATAGTCAAGGTGGCATAGCCAAGATATAACACATTATCATTGGATTTTTATGCTCCATTGGCATTTAGATTGTGTTTATCATGGTAAGTTGGCACCTCTTTGTGAAGCATAGGTTCTATCATAGCCCTTCTCCTAGTGAACAGGGTCAGTCCTTGAATAAAAGTCTTATCTGTTTAGGGGAACTGAAGGGACAACATTATTTTTTAGTTTTTATTTTTTTATTGTACTGGGGTACATTGTGGTATTTACAGAAGTTCTTACAATATGTCATAGTTGGGTTCACTCCCTCCATCATTCTTCTTTATCCCTTCTCCCCATTCCTGGAATAGTTTCAACATGAAGAGACAACATAATTTAAAAATGTATCCTAACTTTTGTCAGATATGAGGCCATCTTTATTTTGCTGATAAATGATGTCTACTCCAATAAAGCACTTGGAAGGCCTGATTCATGTAAAATTGCTATATGTTTATCTAGTTAACAGAAGTGTTTCTGAGAATTCACAAGTGATGCTTTGGAAAGGCCCAAATAGACAAAAAAAATTTTTTTTGAAAAGTACTTAATGGAAAATACAAAACTTGAGGCAGGGGTATAGTTCAAGTGGTAGAGCACTTGCCTGGCATGTGTGAGGCCCTGGGTTTGATCAAAACAAAACTTTA